AAAAAAGACTAAATCACACAAAATATTTGCAGGTACCTCTGTAAAACACACAAAAACTAAGACTAAACCACACAAAACATCTCTAGGTGCCTCTGCACAACTCACCCAGAAATAAAGACTAAATCATCCCAAATATTTCCAGGTATCTGGACAGAACTCAGCCAGAAATCAAGACTCGACCACCTCAAATATTTCCAGGTGCCCCTGCAGAACTCACCCAGAAAAAAGACTAAATCACACAAAATATTTCCAGATACCTCTGCAGAACTCACCCAGAAACAAAGACTAAACCACCCCAAATATTCCTCCATGTGCCCAACGCAAAACTTCCTCCCCAAGACCTCACCAGTTGCACTAAAAGCTGCCAGACCCTCCTGTCCCTGAGTTAACCCGAATTTCTCTTCTGGCGTTCCCATTCCCATCCTCTCCTCCTGACTCTCCCAAAAGCCTCCCAAGCTCCTTACCTGGCTGGGCACACAGGGCAGCCGCCAGCAGGGCAACCAGAAAAGCCTTCATGGTTGAAGGAGAGCCCTCAGAGTCTCAAAGGTGTGGGATGGGGCGCCACAAGAAGGTTTTATACTGGGACTGAGTTGTCTTTTCCTTCCCTTGATTGCAATAATTTGAGGGTTGGGGAGTGACAGCACCCAAGGTGTGATCAGGGCTGGGCGTGTTCATGCGTAGGAACCTGTTTCAAAGCTGCAGGTAGAGGTGTTTTCTTCCATCTCATCTCCAGATCCAATCTTTTCTTTTTTTTTTTTTTCCCTGCTGACTGTGCCTGCATTGCTAATTTGGGGAGCAATTTATCTGATTCCAAGGTGGGACTCCCTTCTCGGGCTTGAACCGCGAAACCCAGCACTGGGCTGGGCTGGAGGCATTGTCTGGAATCCTCCATCCTTCCTCTCTGCCATGGAATGGGAGCTGAATATTTGTGGGAAGCAAGAGAGGAGGAGATATTTTTGCTGGATTGTCCGCAATCACCCGGATTTATCTCTCTTGCACAAAGAAACTTCAAACAGAAACCAGCAGCGACCACAGAATCAGGGGAAGGTTTGGGTTGGAAGGGACCTCAAAGATCACCCAGTTCCAACCCTGATCCCACTATTTGTGCCTGGAGATTGTCCCTCAGAGGCTCCTGGCAGGGATAGGGGCTGATGCTCTTGTTTTGTTCTGCTTCCCTGTCCTCCAGAACCATCTGGGGTTTCCAAGCAACAATATTTGTTGTTACCTGTCAACCAGCTCTGGGCTCTGTCAGGTTTTTCCAGTCCCTTGTGACCTCTCCAATCTTTCTGGGCTCCCTCCTTCTGCTCCCACAACACCTCTTGGCAGATGACTCAGGATGCAGAAGAGGGACATGGAAACATCATGGAAACACCTGCAGGAGTTCAATTGTGGAATGGGAGTGAAAAAGACTGAGAAATAAAACAAGTCCTGGTCGAGGAGACACCTCAGCAGGACTCTTGGTCTTTGGAGAGAGAAAAGACCAAGGGAAGCTCAAAGTAAAGGGTGGTAAGGTCACAAATGGGGTGGAAACAGAACAAAGAACATCCAATTGCTCTTTGTGTCCCCAAATTGCTCATAAAATCACAGAATATCCTGAGCTGGGAGACACCCATTGAGCCCAGCTCCTGGTCCAGCACAGGACAACCCAAAAAGTCCCACCATGTGCCTCAGTGTTGGCCAAACACTTCAACTCTGGCAGGGTTGGTTCTGTGATCACTTCCCTGGGGAGCCCAGGAACCAACTCCCCAAGAGTCTCTGGTCACCTTCCTGCAGGATCCTGGGTGGCTGGACCCATTCCCAGCCTCTGGGATGAGTCTTTTCCTTCTGGTCATTCCTCCTTTTGCCCAGTTCCTCCCTTCCTGCAGCAGTTTTAACCCTCAGTGGTTTCTGTCTCCGTGTCCGGAGAAGGTTGGAGGGGATGAACATCCTCTTTGCCAAGTTTTCCACTCTGTTCTCTGACCTTGAGCACGAATCTTTAACTCCCCTTTTAGCCAGGATGTGAAAGACCCACGGGACAGATAATGTGGCAACAATATTTCAGAAATAATCTGTGAAAAAAAAACCAAAAAAACATCCTTTCCAAACAAGATTCCTCATAAATACAACATCAAGCTGGAAAAATGCTGGAGCACGGAGAGAAAGAGTGGGTATTAATCTACATGTTTGTTTTATTTATAATACCAGGGTTGTCTCAGGCAGCTGGGAAAACAGAAGATGGAACTTTCTACACTTTCTACTCTTCCATCCCATCAAAAACCCCCAAATGAAAATGAATTATCCCACAAAATCCGGCTCATCTCGGAGCAAATCGAGCAGAAAAATGCAGCTCCTCAGCAGGAGCGAAGGCCAAACACGGTCCAGGACAAGAGAGGAGAGAAAGGCTTGGAAATGAAAGCAAATAAATGAACAGTAAATAAATGAGGCTGTTAAAGCAAAGTGCAGCTGAACAGAAAAATCTGCAAGTGAGAAACTGGGCCGTAGGAAGTGGAAATGTGAGAAAGCTTTTAAATAGATTAGAGAAAGGGGAGGTTAATAATAATAAACAAGATGAATATTTCACCCAGACAAGAGAGAAGGAGGGGGAGAGAGGGTGAGGAAATATTGGTGCAAAGCAAAATAAATCAAAGCAAACACACTAAGTTGGAGAGAAAATAATTAAACACAAGAAAAGTGAGGGTCAGAAATAAGATGGCAAGGGGATTCACTGTTGCTCCTGTGGTGGCAACACTCAGTGCTGGGAAAAATGGACATTTTGTTATGTGCAGACACTGTTTAGGTGTTAAAAACAGTTCTTCAGGGGTCTGGGAAGGGTGGAACTCCCAAAAATCCCAGTTTAACCAGCCATTGGAATCAAAGCAAACACACAAAGTTGGGGGAGAAACAAACACCAAGTGAGGGTAAGAAATAAGATGGGATGGGCTTCACTGTTGTTCCTGTGGTGGCAACAC